TCCACTAATAGAGTAGCAGTTCCATACTGCGTTTTGGGCGATGTCTTTAACATTTGCGATAAGGGAAAAAAGAGGAGATATTTGATTGTATATTTAGTTGTAGGTAGATAAAATCTTTATTAATTAAATATTTCGATTGCGGATGTCGATAAACAAAAATCAATAATTACACAGCACTAGTTATATAATTCTGCGGTTTCATCCGTTGAGTGTGGACCGGATTTTTGTCGGCAATAGTAGGTATTTGCCTTTTTTTTGTTTTACGTGTGTACATAATTTTTTGTTTAAATTGTGGAATAGACGTATTTATTTGCTAATTAAACGGCCTTGTTTATTACTTCAATATAATATTTGATTTTTGCCGAATTTTGATGTTGTGATTTTACGAAAATATCACAATCGATTCAGATTACTTTTAGAAACAGTGTAAATAAACCACGGACTAGAAGAGCATTTTTTTCTAAGTCTACGACAAACTTTAACATCTTCATGCAAAAATCGATGTGATGGGCACATCGTTGACATCAATAAACATTGAATAGTGGCAAACAGTGCTGTAGTATGTTTATCGCTCAAGGCGCCTCGTATGTAGACACGTTTTAGAATAATCATTTTATTTGTTTTATTTCTTTGTTCTCGGACTCAGGGGTTCCCCGTTCAACGAGTAAGGTTTTTTTAAATAAAAGAGTAAATATTTTTTTCCATTTTATAATTTTATTTTGTTACAGATATTTCAGTCACATTGTATTAGATTAATTTCACAAGGTAAATAGGTAGCTTTGACATCTGAATCGAACATTAATATTAACTTAGATCGAGTTTTCAGGTTTTAGGAAACGAAAGTATTGTTTCGGCTCTAAATTGCGTAGATCAAAACGTTGCTTGGTTTGTTTGAAAAAACAAATATACGTGATAAAATATAGTTATAACAAAGTCAGATGACTTGGGTAATGGTGCTGGTGACAATGACAAGCACATGGGACTTGTTGCTTACTACCAGGTCCACGATTCGTTCTTCCTTAGTACCATTAAAAAGACTTGTATACATTTGTAACAATTGCGCAATCATGACCTTTGGACTTTTCTCGTTGGTGACTTTGTTTACCAGCAGGTATTTCGGAGAAGTGCTGACTCTGACAGCCTGTGTCGTATTTTTTTACATTTAAGCTCTTAATTAGCTGGTAATAAAAAGTACCAATAATGCTGTTTTTCCTTTACCTTTAGAATATAAATATTAAAACATTATTATTTCGTCGGCTAAATTTGAAAACCTCGTAACTCCGTTTTTGAACGAAAAGCTCAAAATATAATTTATACCTTCTTTTAGTCATAAAAGTGTAATCAAAGATTGTCACACATTACGTTTAGTATTCAGTTTATTATGCCTAATCAACAGTTCGCGAGGTTCACGAATTTAAACGACCACAAGTTCTTTTGCATAATGATCGTTGCTTAAAGGTATGTATATATTCCAGATCGATCTATAGGTGTTCTTAATTTACAAAGAATGAACCCTTATATAGTCTACTTTGAGATTAGCGTCGTACCAGGTGGGTTCCCACCCGCTCTTCCCCTCATAGAAGCTGACAAGAGCCTTGCGGCCGCGGTTCGTCCATGGCTTGTCTGGTGCGTCAGCGAAGTCGTTTATACCGCCCACGCGAAGTCCAAGAGCTAGATAGAACTGGAACAAAATATGACTTTAATTTGTTTTGTCCGAAGTTACCGTATTAAAAATACAATTTAAATTTGTTATCGAAGAACCGGGAAATAAAAAATGATAAGATTTTCTTCTAACGTAATTTTTACCTCGCATACGTATTTTGACATAGTATGTTACTGATTTTCGTATTACGAAGTATAAGAAATTAGTGGGATAATTTCACATAAAATAAATTAATAAGATGGTAGTAAAACATGATGATATTCATTAGAATCAATATTACAATTTATAAAGCGACATCTCTTGTCAACCTCTGGTAGCTGTAAAGGTACCTGATTAAGTAAAGAAAAACTCATGGATTTCTTATAAATGGCGCTATAGTTAAAAGCCAAGATCTAAACCACATACTTTCTTTGTTAATTTGTTTATTGTTATTACTATTTATTTTATTGTCCTACAAAAAGTGTATAAGTAATCTTATTATTATATATTATTTTTAATGTATACATTCTAATATAATGTATAATATGTATTATTATATATTATTATTATTATTTATATATTTACTTTATTCATGAGCAGTGTATTTATTTAAAACACTTTCATTGCAAGATATTCTTTGGTTGTACCCCCTTTTCCAACTCTTAAATGTCTATCCTAAGGTTGCCTGGAAGAAATTCAATGTAGTTGCATTGCATTGCTGTTATGTACGTTTTTGTTCTATTTTAATGTGCAATTAATTTTTTCAATCATGAATTCACGTTTTCATTCATTCGGGATCTGTACAAAAGCATAGCAAAATCCGTAAGATTTGCTGACTTGATCTCTAGCTCAGTTAGTAGAGTGGTCGCCGTGGTATAGCACAAACGCATTCGATTCCCGTCAGATAAGTGGATTTTTTCTTTGTGTCCTTTTAATTAATAATTATAACAAGGTAGTGGAGTAATTTCGCAATGGATATGATTGTAGTAAACCATTACAATATTCATTACAATCTACACTACGAAAGTAATATAGTATCTGAAAGAGCTATAACTTTAATTCAGAGGTTACATTACATTAAATTACACTTGAAGTCGCCATATTGATTAAACTGTACTGCTTATTCGTAAAGCAGATTCCCCTGAGAAGAATGAGTAAGAATCTGTAGAGGATGCACTGTGTAAATATACATTGGAATACATTAATCATTTACAATATTTATTTCAAATATCTTAGATCGAGAATACTTGCAAGAGCTAAACGTGTCACTGCCACGGAATTTTGTCATCCCAGTAAGTACATGCTGCATAATAACCTTTAGTATATATATATATACAGTTTTCGTTTCACTATAGTTTTCCAGTGAATGGCAAATTTTTAATATCACCCGGAATCTTATTATGGAAGCGTATATAAATTTGTCACTTAGTGAAGACGACTGCCAAGAATAGCTAGTTTATTTTTATGCCTCGTATTAAAGTTTATCTTTTTTTTTCTTAAAAAAATATGTTTGCTATCATTTTTCATTAAAAATACTGTTATCTTCTTGACATTAATTGCATTCTCATAAATGTACTGTGACGCTACGAGAACAAGATGTGTAATAATGTTAATTTCTTTAAATTTATCTTTGAAAGATACTCAGATATGTTTATAAACTTCCCTATCCGCATTTTTGCATGACAACGATTTTATTAATATCGGCGGTATTATCGTAAAGCAAAATGTCGTGTGTTATTAAACTGTGAAAGTTGTTTTAGTAGAAGTGGAGCTTCTTGTGCAAGAGTTCGTCCAGGGAAGTCTACCACCTTACCTATTTCTGCCGCCAAGCAGTAATGCGAGCATTACTGCGTTCCGGTTTTAAAGAATAAGGGTTGCTGGTGAAATTACAGGGACTTGTCAACTTATATTTCAGGGTGCCGGAGAATTAAGATAATCATTTCCTACGTTTAAAACTTACATTAGATGTATTTTAATTTAAAAGTCATATTACAAAATTGAAGAGTATTTGTTAGATAAAGATTTATGGAAAAACGACACGAGTCTATGATTTAAAGTCAATTCCATGGCATTTTAGTTTATTTGAAAAGAGCAATTCCTAGAGTTTCTTACTCGTTCTTCTTAGGGAGGTCAGCGTAGTGAACGATCATTAGCTCAAAAAAGTGTAAAAATGTTACCTATGAAATAAATGATTATTTGACTTGGACTTTGGCTTTCACGGGCGCAGTGGGGGTGCCCCACATATCTTTACGTTTTAAAGCTCTGAGTGGTATAGCAACTGTTATGGACAGGCGTGTTGCTTTCCACATGGTAAAAACAGATTACTTAGAAAAAGACAAATTTCTTTTTATGAAGACAAATTTATTAAATCCAACAAAACGATCCTCTGCTTAAAGGCGCTTGAGAATAATTACTTGATAATAGTAAAAAAACGTCTCAAAAGTGTATTTTAGTTATAAGATGGAAATATTTAAACCAACAGCAAATTAATTTACTTCAAGTCACAAAGCCACTCTAGATTCAACAAAATACTTATTTGTTGTTATTAGAAATGTCCGATTTTGACTTGAAAAAAAAAGAATGAAAAATTGAGAGGTACTTAATTATTTGACTGAAGATTGATGTTTTCTAATATAAAAAGGGTAAATTTACAGGGTTATGGACCCAACAGTACTTATGTCTTACTGGCGTGAAAGCACACAGTTCAGTGCCAAAACTTAAGGTAGCAGAAATAGGACGGAATCTTCTCAAATACTTGAGTACCATTCAGTGCCGTATAAATGCTACAGCAGCAGAAAGCACTAACAATTCAAAATATATGAGATGACTTATACTATTGAAGTCATTGACCTAATGATTGAAGTTCTTAGCGCGTTTCAGAGTACAATTAATGCCATCTAGCAGTGGCGTGATGGAACTAATTGCATGTTAAAGTTGTGCTACAAGTGTTACAAGTGTAGTTTGATTTCATGCTTAAACCAAATTTCTTAAATTATGACTACAAATAAAACCATAACAAACTAGAGATACTACGTACTGTTTCTTTGGATAAATGACTGTTTATGATTTTTATGATTACAAGCACAAGTAAAAGTAATCGTTGCCGCGTGCGCCTTCGGCGACATGTCACGACAACATTGACTATGAAAACGCAACGAAATACACTCTAGAAATTAGAATATTAATCTGAATAGCAAACTACTTCTTTTTTTGTTTAAGAATATATTTTCTTAAAATACACCCAAGAAATTTTGAATTCATTTAAGGTTATTTAAATTTGATGTAAAAGGTAAAAATTTCTTGATGTAAGTAATGTCCAATTAATTGATTAGAAATGAAATAAAATCTTGAAGTGAACGTATTTGTCTAAAAGTTAGAATAAAGTTAACAGTAAAATTGTATTAGAAAAAGATAAGCAGTATTTTTGTAATGACAATATTTTATTAATTAAATTTTTATTGAATTGATATTCAATTATTTTTTGTGAAATTACTCCACTAGTTTGTTATAATTATTAATACAAAGATCGAACACTCAGAAAAAACACTCAGAAAAAACACTCAGAAAAAATTCCTTCGATCCGGTCTGATTCGAACCGACGTCTTCTTGCATACCGTGCCAGACGCTATACCAACTAAGCAGTTGGTAGCAGATCTTTGTATTAATAATTATAATATTTTATTACTTTTAATAAATATTTTTTCAGAATTAGCAAATATTTTGAGAAATTGCTATTTTTTATTAGTAGAAATCCTTTTCTTCTGTGCCCCAGGCGCACGAATTGTTCGTCCTGTCACTTGTCATAAAAAAAAGTAGAATTGATGTTGTATACAACAAGAGTAACTGGTTCAATGAACTTACAGTCCGGTCTAAGGGTGCCATGAGGCTTCCTTTAAGCCACTGCGAGGCATGGGGCACCGCGTTCTGACGCGCTGCGTTGTAAAAACCTTCACCGGGGTCTACAGTCCCGTATTGCTCGCCATCCACAAACAAGGTTAGACCATCTGCGAATATTTATCATCATGTAAGCCTCGACAATATATTCTTATGTAAGTATAATGTACGGAGTATATAACCAGAAATAGAGACGAAATGTCATTTTGATTGAAAACCATTCTGCCAAATCATTACGGTGACAACTGCGCTCGGATTGGCCAGCCCGAATTCGAAACAATTGACGGGTGTCGACAAATTTTTCACTTCAAAACGACCAGTTTATCTTGAGCTTTGCTATAATGGACAAATAATGCAAAACTACTTAATTAATTATCGATGAAATATGATTCCCTTTATTTTGTAATTAGATGTTTTGCTGTTTTTCTCACACCACCGAATAGCACAGTACAGCACGCCATTGTTAGAGATATTATTTATTACAATAAATACAGAATATTTTTTGGAATATACGGAGACGTACACACAGGTCAGTTGTCGGCGCTGTCTATAGCTCAGTGCAAACGAGAGTTGATATTCTAAGTGTACTGTGTAACTGATGAGTTACCAGGAACGTATGACCCTTACTTCGTCTATATTTCTGCTTATATACTCGATGGTATAATGTTATGCTACTGATACATTAAATAAATGTTTTTACTCTACGACATAGGTTCCCAAACATTTTGGGTCATCGCTTACTTAAGCAAGATAGAAAAATTTCAACGTCTACCACCACAAAATATGATTTTTTCAAAGAACACATATTTTTTATATTTACTTAACAAAAAAAATCACAAGGAAAAAAACCTGTAGTAAAAAAAGTGTAGTATAGATATATAGGTAGTAGTATAGTTATATAGGTAACTGAGTCCGTGGCCGAATGGTTACCATGCCGGACTGCCACGTAGAAGTCCCAGGTTCGATTCCCGGGCCGGGAGAAATATTTGTATGGCCTACATTTATTTCTCTCGTGAGTTTGGGTGTAATTTGTGGTTGTCTATGCGTGTGTCCATGGCACCCGCGACACAGGGTTTCAATAGCGCGGGGCGATGTTCAGTGCTATGTAAATTCAGATTTTTTCTTTCAAACGCACCACGCACCCCCTGGACAGTATCAACGTCCCCCAATTGCTTCCGAGGACCTTACCGCCACCTAGGACTCTTCAGCGCCCAGTGGGGGGCGGTAGGGACCACCCACTTTGGGAAAACTATGCTCTAAGAGATAGAGATTTAATGTGAATGCACTTGTTATTTTAAATTGAGTTTCGATAGATGGCGTCACAATGTTACCTTTAATGATGGCACGTGACATGGCTATATTTGTATTTGCGTATTTGATATTATTTGACGAACAATCACCATGTGTCGATGGCATGTGTGACAAAGTATCTGCATTGTTTGCCTATTTGTGAAATATAGTAAATACCAAACTCACGTTACTGCGGGCTGGTCGATTCCTCGATGCACATCAAAGGAGCCAAATCGGCAAATACGCAAGAAAACCGTTCATATTATGGTCATATTCATATTTTAAACACCTTATTTGGCTCTATGTGTAGACGGCCATATTTGTCAGTGTTTGCATGTTTGTCTGTACGTCAAACATTTTTCCAAGTACATCAAACACCCAATAACGAATACAAGTAGCCATGTGAAGTGCCACCATTACAATTTATTTATTTATTTAATTTCTTGTCGAAGAACTGACAGAAAGAAGTCACTTAAAAACTAAATAAATTTTCAAATTCTGATTTTGAGTTCTCACATATAAAAATTAACAAAAAATAGGTGATGCTATTATATCCTAAGCTCAATAAGTACAATCAAATAGCAAAAGTAAATGACGGTCACTTAGACCATAAAACCTACAATAGCTGCATGGATTCAAAGATTTTTATAGTTACAGACCGTTTTACTGCAACTATTAGTAGAAAACAGATCGAGATCATAGTCCACACACCACTTATTGAACGCAGAGGAGGCACGCTATATAAAGGAATTTTATCTGTAATTGGTTTTAACTAAATAAAAACAAAATAAGTATGTTATTCCCTTATTATAAACATTAGGTTAAATAATGTTATTAACTATATACTATTAACTAGTAAGATTATATTTAATGATTTAATATGACATCCCAGTTAACCCTACCATCATGCCAAGCCAATTAATCCTACCATCGATGTATATTTACGAGGCCTGTATATATGTCAAACAAAATGTAAGCAACTTTAATGTAGTTAAATTAGATGTCCAAGAAACACAAGGAATACAATAGAAATACGGCCCAAATAACTTTGGGCACGCATGAATTGCATGAAGTCGAAACCGATTTCATGAAATCGAGATCGACAGCATGCAGTTAATCTGTTAGTAACCTAATAAAACCAAACAACATCAAAAGTACCTGGTCTCCAAATTAAAGTGTAATTATGGAAGTCCTTGTTCCAATTCTCGATGCCGATCTTCTCTTTCAGGAGATATGACCTGAAGGGCTCTGTATCGCCAAGGACTGGTCCTCCCATGAGCTTCTTGGCAAACGTCGGATTCCCTTTGACGAAGGCAACTCTCATCAGTCCTGACTCGTAGCGGTGAGGGCCGTAGAAGTTTTCTAGCGGTTCAAGATTGATTTCTGGAAGACGTTGTTCAAATGTAAATATTTCTATAAAACCAAATATGCTATTGTTACAAATAGGTTTACTGGAGGAATCTGGAATAATAAGAGAGAATACAGTTTTAAAGACTTTATGTACCTTGGAGGTGCAGGTGAAGCCATCATACGTTCAATTCCATCGTAATAAGATTCAATTATCTTTTCAAGACAAACATTATACATCTGTCAAGTCATACTCGATTCAATATCGACATGGGGTCCCTCATGTTCGACTACAGACGAGTCCCATATTTTATATCTACGTTTTGATAACACTGACCCTCCCTATCAACGTCTTGGTGGTCGAGAAGGGCACTATTACCTGTGCAAACAAGCCCGCACAGTTACCTTATCTGTTCAGGTCTTAACCCTAGATCAGAACTTGATTCAATGCTCAAAAGGCTAGTGCCTTGGGTGAGCAACCCCGGGTGCACGTACAACACCTCCTATTTTCCAGATAAGCAGCTACTGGTGGAGGGTTCTGCTCGGACGTGTGCCGTGATCTGATCTTACCGGGGAGTCCGTAGTCCCTCCCTATCCATAGGGTCAGTAAATAGGGACAGGCCCATATTTTTCTACATAAGTTTTGTTTATGGTGACCCTTCCTATCAACGTCTTGGTTATACGGGAAGGGCACTATAACCTGTTCAAGCAAGCCGCACAGGGACATTCTCAATAATGGACCATAGACCAGTCCCATATCTTTCTACATAAGTTTTGGTAACAATATCTCTCCCTATCAACCTATTGGTTATGCCGGAAGACCACTATAACCTGTGCGAGCAAGCCCGCGATCTAAGTCAGGTTCTAACCCCAGATCAGCCCGGCAAGACTAGTGAGCCGCCCCAGATGCACGTATGACCATAGACCAATTAAGCTTACTTATTTCTTCGATTTAAGATTTTTTCATGATATCAAGCGACGCGACGTACAAGTCGTGCGCCTGGTCGTAAGCGCCACGCCTGTACATAACAGTTGCAGTGCTGCTCAAAGCTTTATATCGAAAAGATCTGAAAGGCGTTGTCAATACACTCCGAGATATGATGTTGAGAAGTCCCACATGCCTGTAGTTTCACCAGAAAAACCGGAGCGCAGGAACTGACACTGCTTCCTTGGATGAACTCTTTTACAAGGAGCAGTACTGCTGCTATAGTTTAGTGTTAAAATGAAACGAACCTGGTATCAACCAATTGCCATTAGGCATCTTGGCTCTGACTTCAATCCTGCCGAACTTGAAAGCGAACTTGTTTTTCGTGGTAATCTTCCCGGTGATTACGGGTGGCAGGATCTGAGCTCCTGATGCCTCTCGTCTACAATCTAAGACCGATGTACTTGTGCACCTGTAGAAGTTTCCGATTATTAGAAATGCTGTTCGATGCTTCGTAAATGTTAACAATTTATAGGTGGCTGCGTAACCACGTTGAGGCAACAGACGCTGGTTCGAGTTCGCATTGAATTATTATGTTCTTTGGTTAACGTTAACTGTCCCCAAAATACTTAAAAACGTCCCGCTTTGACAAAACAGTACATAATGTCAAGCCACCATACCAGACTATTTTAATTAAATTTTTTTAAATTTTATTTTACTATTTTATTTTAAATAAAACAAAATTGTTTATCATTTATCATTTTTAGTTACTTTTTTAAATTTTTTTAATCATTAAACATTTTGTAACTATCATAAATACGTGTTTTATTTTTAAAACAATTATAAATTAACCGTCCGGAGTCCCGCTCTAAGGGAAAAGAATAATGGCCACGTTATCTTTGGTACAACATTAAAAACAAGATTATTAAATTTATGTAACTATAGTTCGGAATAGGTTGTGACGATGCGACCTCCTTCATCGTCATCCCACCTTGTTATCTCCCTTTTGTCTGGTTCCTAGGGGCCTACCATAACCTTTCAAAAAACATCTTATTTCAATGTAAGCTTGTAGTAAGCTTATTATAATATTGCTCATATTCGTACCATGACAAACCTATCAACCGAGTAATATATTATTGCTAAAGTGAATGAAAGAAAGAATGATTTCCCAATATTGTCTATTCCTTGCTAAAAATAGGAAAGATATAACGCTATATGAACTGTATAATGCCATCTCTTTCTTTTTTGATGTTTCGAATCGTCCTATTATAGTCACGGATTTATATATTTCATAAACTGGATCGCGCACTTCGATATACCAATATTACAAATTTACACCTTATTGGGTTATGTTAAGGTTTGTTTTAAGTAAAAGTAAAAAACCGAGTCACGTGAGATAGCCCGAAGTAGTGGTCTGTCCTTGTCTAACAAGTTGCCAACACTAAATAAAATCATCTTAGGTAGTGTCTAGTCCATTAATTTTCTTAAATTTTGGTTAAATGAGTTAAGTTAGTTTAAAGGTAACATGCTTTTACTGTAATAATACAAAATAAAAATATTTCAATAATGAAACTTTCTATTATGAAGAAGCATATCAAATACGAGTAAGTAGACTAATTTGTATTATGAAATAATATTAGTATTTTTGGTCATCCATAAGCGGTCACATTTTCCGTAAAAATTAAAAAGTTAAAAGCAATATGGCTGGCTGAAACATGAATAAAAACCCTATTAGAAAAAGACGCATTACTACTTTGAAGCCTTTCACTCGGCTCGTTTTATTAACTTAGTGCAAGTCCGTGATTGTAGTATAATGTTAAAGTACTTACTATAATTCTAGGGTCGGCGGACTAAAGCACTTAAGTTAAAGAAGTGCTTCATTTGTTAATATATAATTATTATTTTTTTTGTGTTGTTTTTAGTGTTGGAAGTTAAATAACCTCTAGAATAAAGTTAGACATTTATGAAGTAACAAATGAATTTGCTTTATGTGCTTTAGCCGGTAGATGTATTAATTTAAATGAATGGTGTTGGATTTTGACTTAGTCTGCCGACCCTAGAATTTACATTCAGAGAATTTTAACTGTCAAAAAAAGAAAAATATGTAATAAAGAAATCTATTAAAATTACGTTGTTTTCAATTCTTTTTCAGCATTTTCACGAAGAAAAATAAATAAAACAAGCTGAGTCTTGATTGTCACATTGTAAATTCGGAATTATAGTCTAGTGTCAACTGTTAGTTTCGCAAGGAGCTTATAGATGTCGCTGTCATAATTTTACGAAACAAGCATCGCGTATTTTTATTTAACGAGAAATTATTTTTTAAGTACTATTAAATAAAAAAATAATGAAATATCGAAGAGATATATGTAAATAAATAAGTTCAACTTAACTTTCAATCATTACTAATTAATATTAAGACAATAAAACTGAAAATAATATTCTTTCCATTGCATCAGTGTAACTATTTTAAAATTGCTAAATTTGACATAAGAACAAATATTACTTTAATGTTGAAGTCACGTCATAGTACGAATTGAGTGAATGAATAGTCACAAAACTGAAAATAAAACATCATTGTTTTAACATTAAAAATAAGCTTACTTTAAGCGCGTCATGGTACGAATAATCAATGTAAGGTTAAAGTAATATTATTTTAAGAGGTTGTGGTAGGCCTCCAGCATCGAGTATATAACCAGAAATAGAGACGAAATAAGGGCCATATATTCCTGGTAACACATTAGCGATACAGCGCTTCTAAATATCAAATCTCGTTTGCACTGAAATATAGACAGGCCAACTACTGACCAGTGTGTACGTCTCCGTATATTCCAAAAAATATTCTGTATTTATTGTAATAAAGATAATATCTCTAACAATTCGGTGATGTGGGAAGAACTGCAAAACATCCAATTACAAAACACACGGAATCACATTTCATCGGTAATTAAATATTAAATATGTAATTTTGCAATTTTCGTCCATTATAGCAAAGCTCAAGTTAACTAGTGGATTTGAAGTGAAACAGTTGACGACACCCGTCAATTGTTTCGAACTCGGGCTGGCCAATCGGAGCGCAGTTGTCACAGTAATGATAAGGCAGAATAGTTTTCAAACAAATTGAATGACATTTCGTCTCTATTTCTGGTTATATACTCGATGGCCCCCAGTTACGCCATTGATCATGTAACCGAACTGCTTATAAAGCATAATATTTGTAGAAAATACAGGCCTTTTTGGGTAAGTTCCTTTTTACTATGTCTGCTGTTAACTTGTATGTAATTTAAGTAGGGAGTGCCTGTTCTTATTTATTTCTACAATAAAATTGTGGACTCTATTTAATTACGCGAGACCCGCGCGACAAGGCTGCTGTTTATTAATATTAGTCGTAACTGGTTGATCAGTGATATCATCTCGGTCAACCGCGACCATGAGACCTGCAAAGTGCCTCAAACATTGATTTGTTTTTAAAAACATATAAGTGATTTACAACGATTGGCAATCGGTTAAATCTCAAAAGGTTAAGTTACTATCAATGTGTAGCTACGTTTGTAGTTATTTTGATATGGTCTTTAGATAATGTAGATAATAAATTTATCGTAAGTATGATGCCACTAACTTTTAGGTATCTTACTAACATAATTAAACAGGTTTGTTATAATTATTAATACAAAAAATCGAACACTCAGAAAAAATCCATCGATCCGGCCGGATTCGAGCCGACGTCTTCTAGCTTACCGCGCCAGACGCTATACCAACTAAGCAATGGAACGAACCAGCGGACCTCACGAATTTTTCTATGTGCTTGCGTCGTATCTTTGTAATTTGGTTTTTCAACGACTTTTTAGTCGTAGCGCCATCTATGAGAAATCTATGAAAGATTTATCACCCAGTTAGTACCTTTACAGCTACCAGTCCTGGCGAGAGATGTCGCTATTCAAATTTTTATTGAATTGATATTTAATTATTTTTTGTGAAATTACTCCACTAGTTTATTATAATTATTAATACAAAGGTCGAACACTTAGAAAGAATTCCTTCGATCACAAAAAATAATTGAATATTCAATAAAAATTTAAAAATAATTAAACAGGCTTTATTGGTGGTTCGATTGGAGACTAGAGATGGATCTTTTGTGACTGCTACCCCATTAATGACAATTCATCCCCTAAGCAAACATGACTCATGAACCGTATGATGTTCTTAAGGGCTTAAGTTCAAACGTCTTTAAGGTTGGTTCACATTTGTGACATTACTACGCACCGAGACTTCGTGACATGTCACGGGTACTTCGTAAATGTGGACGGACTGGGGAAATTTCAGAACACGCGTCATTTCAACACACCGAGACACCGTGACGTCTCACGGTACTTGCTAAATCTGGATGTTATTGTGAATTTACCGTTTTCATTATATTATACATATTAGTTTATATATGTTACATATATTTCATTTTTCGAAAAATACGACAGACAAGCTTGTTTTTCTCCCACTGTGTGCGCATCGACTGCATGCCGAGTCAATCAGTGCTGCGGCACAAAAGCTCCGGCTCGTGGATCGCGTGTCGTGTTGTTTGTCACGCGTATCTGTTACGGTCACGAAATCTCAGTGCATTGAAATGTCACTAATGTGGATCCACCTTTATGTATTCCACCCGAACGGTCAGCTTCTACTGTGAATTAGGGCATTGCCCTGTTCGTCCGTTCAAAATATCTCGATTGTTAATTAATATAGCTATAATGGATCACTATAGTATTGGTTTTTGAACTTAGTATTTATAATTAAAAAAAATCTTACTTATTGCTTAAGTCCAGTTTGTCATAGATAATTCTATCATTATACTTGTCTTCAGTCAGAACTGGTGCTATGACCAGGTTACCATCTTTTATACTCATTGTGCCATCCGACATGTACAGGTTGAAAGGGTAATCCTGTGAAGACAGTAAAGATTAATATAGGAAGTATAATAATAATATAGTAATAATTTTGTAGCAGTAGAGCTCCTTGTGAAAGAGTTCGTCCAGGGAAGTGCTGCCACAGTACCGATTTCTGCCGCAGACTAGTAATGTCAGCAGTTCCGGTTTTGAAGGGTAAGGGTGCTAGGGAAGTTACAAGCAAGTACTCCGGAGTCTGCATTGCACGGCCTCACTCCACTTAGGGGCGGGTCGGAGGACAACTGATTTGCCCCTCCGTTAGCGCGGGAGACCTGGCGCAAGCTAGGGCGGGCGGTGTCGTGGTGAATGTGCACCGACCCCACGGCGCCGACTCAACCAGCGGGAGGTAAGCCCGGGGGGGAAATAGTGGGGTAGGCCCTCCAGTCTGGACGGAGAGTCCCCACTTAACCCCTGAATCTTCCTGGGCGCAGGGGTATCTATAAAGATTTCCCCCCCGTAAAAAAAAGGGAAGTTACAAGCACATGAGATTGCGATTTAAAGCTCTGAGTAGCACTGCAACTGTTAAGGACAGGCGTATATCTTACCATAAGGATTTGATGACCTCATTGGCAAAACTGCGGACGCTAAGTGTGGAAATGTAGTATATTGAATTGGTTCTGATATGAGTGTTCAAGGTAGTGAATTTAGTTGCTCCGTTACTCATTAGCACAGGGAATTTCACAGAACAATACAGTAGAAGTGGTTAGTGCGTGTGGCATGTGTGCCAACATTACGCGTAGTTCCAGCATACTGGAGCTCAGTCCGCCATTTTAGCTTTTTACATTAAGGTCGTGTCAATTTTCTCGCGCAAAAGCTCAAAAGTGACACATGTAATTATTATCCATCATGGTGTTCCATATCATCGTTAAGTCTTATTTATTTTGATAATTTTTCTAATTTCTGTTTATCGTAATCGATTTTTTGTTTTAAGAAACGTAACTGAATATCGATTTTTTGGAGAACGTTAATAGGCGTTAGTCGTTCGTTGTTTTTCAGCTATTGCCGCTAGATGGTAACACATTGAATGAAATTTCAATATGAAATCATAACGTCGTAACTTGCAATAATAGGTATAGAACTTTTAACGATATGCCAATTAAGTCCAGAATTTGTTATATCTTTTTAAATTAGAAACTACGACTCTACGACCTATCGTTAATCAAGATTTCATAGTGTTTAACATTATGATAGTGTGAGTTTTGGCGACAGCCGTTCTGATAGTAATACAAGGCGTAAGGCCCTTCCATTGCTTTCCTCTTCCGTGGGGAATTTCCAGATAAAAAAATGATGATGGTTTGGCACATAATGACTGTTCATAATAAATTTATTTGTAAAAACTCAGGTTATAGAGCGGTTGACACATATCAACAACATTAATAAGTATAGTTTCACTGTTTCCGACCAAATATTCGGCACACAAACATTGTATGTATACAGGGTATTTATAAAATACTCACAACGTCGCAATACTATATTATTTACATGCAATGTTTTTCAGCATACAAAGAAATGTAGACTTAAAAACATTACATTTTATTCAAACTATATTTACAAAGTTATAAATGTGTCGTTCATTGTAAAAGTGAATTATGTCCTTGTAATAAATTTTGAAATAATGAGCTTTTAAGCAATTGTATATATAATGTGTAGTAATTTTAGTTCTCTGAGTACACTAGTGCAATTATTGGAATTGCTTCACTTTTATAACAAAAATTAAGACTAAATACGATACTTTTAAGCAAAAAAATATGTGTTTTAAAATATGGACTTACACCACTTTTAAAATGATCGACACAAATATCTAAGAACAAGTCATTTAGAGCGATGTATTTAAATATTTTTATTTTTGAATGAAAGTAAATTCTGATGGATTATTGAAAATTGTGGTACAAAAGTTGTTCCACAATTGTTGTTTATGATGTTAATAACACAGTCCTGAAACGTTGTTAGTATTTTAGAAATAACCTGTATATTGATTGTACATTATTACGTATTATTATACCCTGTATATATATTGTGTTGTTTATCCATTTCAAATAAAATAATTATAAAAAAATATAATTAGTAAGTGTATAAAATACCTATTAAATGAATTTTATCACGTTCCATCCCTGTTTATAATACAACTATAATGTAACGGGAAATTTTAAATACAAATATATGGTTATAAATACGGTACTGATTTGAAATCAGGTTTTGTAACGACCAATATAATATTATATCAATCGAATTGAGGAAAAATATGCGAATTAATTTAAAAGCTTTTTTAAAACCTGTGCGCAGAACAAGTTTTGTTAAACGAAATTTAAATACGATTAAGTTTTATCTGTGTGTGGAATGACCGGACAGGACGGGTAAAGGATAAGAATTTGTAAGGGGTGAGAATGAATTTTTAACCGACTTCAAAAAAAAAGGAGGAGGTTCTCAATTAGACTGTATGTATTTTTTGTAGTTATGTATGTTACTCGATAACTATGTGAACCGATTTTGATGATTCTTTTTTTATTGGAAAGAGGCTTTAATGGACGAGATCTCAGTTTCTGAGACCCGTGAAATGTGATATGGTTCAGGATGCAAGAGTTTACAAGCTTGACTGTGAATGCTATCTCTGTTATATTGGACAAACGAAGCGAAGTATTTGTACCCGTGTCAAAGAGCATGTAGCTGATGTCAAACACCTTTAACTGCCTCCGTGGCCGAACGGTTACCACGCCGGACTGCCATGCAGAGGTCTTGGGTTCGATTCCCAGGCCGGGAGAAATATGTGTATGGCCTACATTTATTTCTCTCGTGAGTTTGGGTGTAATTTGTGGTTGTCTATGTGTGTGTCCATGGCACCCGCGACACAGGGTTTCCCTAGTGCGGGGCTATGTTGAGTGTGTGCGTTATTATAATAAAAAAACACCGTCGCCAGAGGCCATTGAAATTAAAAAACATATTATTCAACAGGGAAGATGGTTCCTCCGTACCACCAGTTAGGGATCCAATATTTTCTCCGATGAAAAATCCCAAACAGACATAAGACTGCAAAACTAATGAATATGGTTTATTTTATTCTAATTTTCATTATTAATTAATAATCAAATTAAGTTAATAAAAATTCATATTGTAAAAATAAAATAATTTGTAAAACATAGTATAGTGTAAATCGGAATGTTTCTTTGTAAAATAAAAAAAAAGGTATTTAATTAATAACTTTTGTAACTATAGTGAAAAAATGTGAAAAAATATAGTGAAAAACCGCACTAACCTGTGATATGAGTACGAGAGCAACGTAATTCGTTCGGGGCAGAAAAGTTGGCACCCACACATTGACTTACAAATAAATGGACGACGGGTCTAATACAAAAACCACGAAAAAACTGTCCCAAGCCAACCTATTTAAACGTAGTGACATGTAAAGGAATATGAAAAAGCTAAAACGTTGAATTTAAATTGTAATGTCATCGCAGTACTGTCTAATTTTGCTTGTTTCGCTGTCAGTCGAACAAACGAAGACTAAAGCGTGAATGACGCTCTGTATACGATTTTAACGCCCTATAAGTTCTGACAGTTTTTAGCGCGGACCCGACGTCCATGTAATTGTAAGTCAATGCACCCACAGTACAAACCGGTTGTCAAATTATTATTGGCATTTAAAGTATTGAAAAAAGGTTAACTTACTAACCGGTTCATCCAAAAATTTATGCTCAGCTTGCCAATTTACCAAGCTGTCAACACTGTCCTTGTTGAACTCCTCACTAAACAGCAAACTGTTTTTGCACACAGCGTTCAGTCCTGCAACCACTGTCTGTGAGACCGTGCAACTAGGAGAGATTGGTTTGGGGATAACGGGAGCGTCTACGACGGGTTTCGGCATGGCTGGTGGTTGTGGTGTGGCAGGATTTACTGGTTTACCCTCTTCGTCAACGTATCCTGGAATTTAATATCGCAGCTTTAGTTCCAGTTCAGTTAGATTAATAAAGTTGTTGATAGAGAAAAATACCAAAGACGATTATGAAAAATATTTAAAATATGTAAAATATTGTCAGTTGATAAAAAAGTGAAATTTGTGATGGCTATTGAAAATTATTATAAGACTGAGGATATACCTTTGTATATAACACAAAAAGAGTTAGAGAAAAGAGATTAAATAAATGTAAAGCTAACAATAATTTTGGAAAAAGAACTGATAAATTTGTAATAAGTACCAAAAATATACAATAAAATAGACTGGCTCAGAGAAATAAGAAAGCAAGAAAAAAGTTTTGAAAAAGAAATTAATAAATATATAGCCAAGTGATGAAATATTACATAGTGTACATTTATTATGATTAGAGATAGTATTCTTTAGCGAAGACAGTTTTACCTTAGAAAATTGCTGATATTTAACGTACCAAAATTAATGAAGAATTAACTAGAATAGATACACATATATGTAATTGAAAAGAGCGTTGTCTTGCCAACAACCTGATGCCCAGGTAGGCAAGATCTTTAGAATAAGTATAAATTGTATATCTCTGGAGAAATAAAATAAATATTAATCCAAAGGTAGATTAGACAGGATTCGAACCTGCTTCAGTGCCGTACCAGGGCGACCGCTATACCAATTTAAAAAAAAGTTACTTTTGTACAGGGTTAATTGTATAATATTAACAACATCGCAGGACTATATTACTAACAATATAAACAAAACAGCCGGCCTATGGGGCCCTCCGGATTCATATATACATATGTGTCAATGTTACATGAAATAAATTTTTTATTACTATAAACAACAACTTTTGTTCCCTGAGTTTTAATAATGCATCAGACTCGATTCATCGCTCTAAAAAGTAATAACTCTATGCAGCACCGGAGTGGGAATAATCGCGGAGGACGCTTGCACTTTAGGATGTACCTTACTACAAATTTTTTTTTAATAACGCACACACTCAGCATAGCTCCGCACTAGGGAAACCTGTGTCGCGGGTGCCATGGACACACACATAGACAACCACAAATTACACTCAAACCCACGAGAGAAATAAATGTAGGCCATACAAATATTTCTCCCGGCCCGGGAATCGAACCTGGGACCTCAGCGTCGCAGTTAGACATGGTAACCGTTCGGCCACGGAGGCAGTTACAGTTAAATACAGATCTACAAAGTGTCAGATAGAACAAAAAAAACTTAAAAGTTTGTTTTTGGTAAATTACAAGACGTAAGGTCTTGGAACAAATGATGTTGTTAATGATGTTAGTAATATAAAAAAAAAAACCCTGTATACAGATGAAGGTAATGATATTTACCAGTAACCTCCCATACCCCATCATCCTGCCGGTACCCCAAGCCATTCTTGATGACATAAGTCCAGAAGTAAATCTTGTCCCCGATTTTCAGTTCAACGTTGCGGTCTCTGAAGGTCCACCTTCCATCTTTCACTTTAGTGATGTCTCTTGCCCACTGTCCTGCTTCCAGGCCATCCATTTCCACGTTAAGATTACCGTGGAAGGCGAAGAGGGAGAAGCCATCATCTAAAAGCATTTCAATTTTGTCATTACCGTTAGGAATTTAGCTCGTATAAAAACGTCATCTGTATGAATAAATTTTACAACAGGTCGCCGCTTTTACAGAGCGAAAGAATACGCTGTTCAATTAAGAGCAGATTACACTAAAATCGAATGAGAATAAGATGCGAGTAATTAGCGTCTTATTCTGGAAATAAGACCCATTCGACTTTGTGACCCTTAGTGTGCCAGACAACCACACCAAATACATACATATGGTACATAGCAATAAATCATGTTTGTTTAAAAAAAGGTAGAAAATGTCATCACCAGGAGGCATATACCCAGGAGGCTCACAATATGTCCCTTAAAAAAAATAAAAAAACCTTATGGATAACAAAGTTTTTTTTTGTAAAAGGGTAGAAAACACTCCCTATAGAAGACTAAACACAATACACAATACTCACCTCAAAAAGGCCTATATGTCTATATTATTTTAATAGTAAATGACGTCATGATAGTAAATGAGGTGATGATTTATGGGCACATCCTCTCGTTTCCAGAATTTTGATGGCAGTGACGACGAAGTGAACTAAAGTAAGAATAGAAAAGGAAAAGGGAATTCGAGAACGATTCAAAATTTTAAAAGAAAGTGGCCAGGAGTAAAGAAGGTGATAAAAAGGTGGGATTACGATGAAGGAGTATCGTAATCCCACCGTATCGAAATATCGTCACATCGTAGTGGTCACTAGAGGTTTCTGCGAGGCAACTTGAAAACTAGCTGGGTATGTTTAACTTGATCATAGTTTTTTTCCTCGGGACGCCTGTTTTATTATTGTTTTAAAAATAAAAGACCTGTTTACTATAGTTACGAAATGTTCAATGATAAAAAATACGAAAAAAAATTGTTTATTTAATCAAAAATTTTAAAATAGAACTAATGTTGTGTAGTCTGGTGCTTGACATCTGGTTGGCTGGCTTTATATATTTTTCGATTTTTCACTTTTAAGTACTTCGGGGACAGTGAAACACGAAGGCTAAAAGCGGGACGTATGATCACGTTAGGTATGTTTCCAAAAAAGTAACTATAGTAGGCAAATAACAGATTGGCAGACAAGAAATGAAACAATTTCTTCAAAATATTAGCTGTTAATTATAAAACCGGTTTAACGTATCCATTAATGCAGCGTGGACTTTAAAATAACTCTGTGAACCAAAGCAGTGGTAAAAAGTCGAGTCGATGAACTGAGAAGCCGCCGATAACAATTTATTTAGCGTCGTTGTGATTTGCAAACATAGGGGGTCAGAGCCTTAAAACAAGTTTTTTTTCATGAGAATAAACAAGCGAACGGAACGAACAAGCCGTGCGCGTGGTTGTATGCAACATGCCTGTCTATAACAGTTGCAAAGCTCTGAGGGGCATTGCCATCGCGCCCGTCGCCCAGAGACATAAGTTGACAAGTCCCATGTGCCCATAATTTCACCGGCACCCTTACCCTTTAAAATCGGAACGCAGTAATGATCACATTACTGTTTAACGGCAGAAATAGGTAAGGTGGCAGTATTTCCCTAGACGAACTCTTTCACAAGGAGTTCTACTGCCATTAATATATATCTTAGGCAAACAAGAATCTGAAGAAAAGCTTTCATAGATTTCGTACAAATAGCGCTGTAACAAAAAAGTTGTTAAAAACAAAAAAACAACGATCTATCAGAAGCACAAAGAAACATTTGTAATGTCTGCTGGTACGTCGGGAGAGTGTCAAGCACGGTAAGCTAAAGGCGTTGGTTCGAATCTATTAATAATAAATTTTTCCAACTATTTATTTAACTTTTGACAGCTCGAATTCTAATCAATTAGTGATGTCCTAATGCGTTTTCGATTCCATTTGCTACAGCAATCGATTTTATGTATGAAATAGTTTAAATCGTGAATGTGGGGTTCAAAAAAAGCTATTGCTGAGTGGGATCGTGACGTTGCGTTTGACAATTTGTGTAATCAAGAATTAATAATTAATGTTAATGAGGATTTACGTGATGATTCCCTTTCATATGGAGAAGAATCCGACTATTCCTTATAACAAACAATAAAAAATTATTATAATAATATTTAATTTCATTAAAATTTATTAGACAGGCACGAAAATTTATCGACTTGAATAGTCTTCATTAAATAAACAGTTGACTAGATAAATATCGAAAATTAAAAAATAAAAGGGTCCAGGAAGTATTCCATGTTCCATTGTCTATAGTGTCAATAATTACGGAACTTCGAGGGCATGCTTAAGTCATAAGTTAAATAAATGGTTGAACGGGGTATAGTGTTTGATCATTGTATTAGTAATTTTATCTTAGGTATTTGTTCGCAGCTCTAAAAGAATCTTAGGAATTGTATAATCAGACAGCGAGCAATTAGGACTGCACGACAAGAACATGACGTGTTATAAAGAACACGCTATGTCGACAAATGAATTCATCGGAAGAATCTTTTAATGACGGAAAATGATTAAATGTACAATTCTGAGTGTGAAATAAGCGTCAAAACGAGACGGGCTATAAGATTCCCGTACAAAATCAGTATGGAAAGCCGAAAATAATGAGAGACATAACATAAGGACGTAGGATAAACTGGTTCTTCTTGACAGTCGTTTTCACAAATTCACAAATTTATTTAAGGAGTATATGTATACGTTTCTACAGTAAGATTCCCGTTGATGTTCAAAATTTGCTACCTACGAGATTTAAAACTGTAGTTAGTCTACTATAGTTAATCAATTCGACCAAGATTCTTTGGCCGAACGTCGAGCAATCAACGGCCCCTTCGCCTCTCCACGAGGCATCCTCGTGGAGAGGCGAAACACGTGTCGGGTATATTTTTGGTGGTGGTTTTTGACCGTAGTTATAGTATGCGGAGGGAGGGTGGGAAAATTAACTGTATGAAATAATATTCAACACAAGCGCACCTATTTTGCACGATTTAACCTTCTCTGGGTTCGCGGAGATTTTTATTAACATGGACTTCCGCAAAGTAACGCCTGAATCTATTAATTACGAAAAGTCATATTACATAATGTTTTCGAGTAATATAATCTCAGTACACAGTACTAAAAAAACCGACCTCAAAAGTACGTGGAATTATAACTATTTGCCAAGTTTTATTGAAATCGGTTACCGGAAAGTGCGCAAACCCGGATTCATCCCCTAGTTCGCCGGATTCATCCAATATACGAGACTTGACACAGGAGATAATAAAAATCGGATGTCACTTCTCAAAGTATATTGAGAGAGAAAACATCTTGAATTGGAGAATAGCCAAATAGAAAATCAACCATTAAAATAATTGCTCCCTACAATAAAATTTAGGCGCTATTTATAAAAATGAATCTTCATGCGTGAACAGCCATTTTTAGAGGTGGATGATTTTCTTCAAAATTAAATGAACCCTCTTTCCGACAAAAAAAGAGTCATGAAAATCGATTCACATATACCGGAGCTATCGCGTAACATACATACAAAAAAAACATATAGTCTAATTGAGAACCTTCTCCTTTTTTTTTGAATTCGGTTAAAAATTGAAGACTACTTGTTAAATAAGGTTGTATGGAGAGCATTGACTTACAAATAAATGGACGACGGGTCTAATACAAAAACCACGAAAAAAATGTCCCAAGCCAACCTTTTTAAACGTAGTGACATGTAAAGGAATATGAAAAAGCTAAAACGTTTAATTTAAATTGTAATGTCATCGCAGTACTGTCTAATTTTGCTTGCTTCGCTGTCAGTTGAACAAACTAAAGCGTGAATGACGCTCTGTATACGATTTTAAAGCCCTATAAGTTCGGACACTTTTTAGCGCGGACCCGACGTCCATATAATTGTAAGTCAATGATGGAGAGTCTCTAGATTCTACACAAATTGGATTCAAAGTGTATTCCATCATTTAAATTTATTTCAAAAGTGCGATCTCTTGAGTTTCCTGCACGTTCTATGGAATAAATAATTCTGCAAACTTGAATGATAAAAATATATGTTAGTGACAAGTTTAGTTCTTACAGGTTGTTTATGATATTTGATGTTTCAAAAACTAATAATTAATAATTAATAATGCATTATAACATAAATTATTATTACAATAAAAAATAATAATGTATTATATTGTCCAGGGAAGTTCATCTTACCTATTTTTACCGCCAAGCAGTAATGTTAGCATTGTTTCGGTTTTGGTAAGGGTCCTGGTTTACTTAACTGGTAAATTACAAGCACAGGGGATTTCTTAAATTCAGTGCCACTCAGGTCCTTACCATTTAAAGTTCTGAGCTACACTGCAACTGTTAGACAGCCGTGTCGCTTACAATCTGGCGCACTACTTGTTTGTCCCATCACATGGTATCATAAAAAAATGTGTACAAAATATTTCTATTAACAAAGACCAGACTCTAGAGATTCTTTATCATTCTATATGACGATATCAAGTGTAATTTGCTTACCTATTACATAGAGATGTGTTTATAATTGATTAAAAATTGTAATTAATGTATATTATTTGACTCCTGATTGCCTCGTGTATAGTCAATTATAATGTTAACTAAACAATACAATACACAGAATATTTCCGGTATTCAATACGGGTAGCACATTCTGTCAAACGTCAAAAGTTGCGAATTGTTAAGTGACAGTTTGACAAAACGGATAAGGGTTGCTTGATTGAAGAGGGTTGTATTTGGAATCTAAATGTGTGGAATTAAAAAAAAAATGGACTCTACTTTGTTTTAACAGACCAATGTCCCACTCTCACAATTTGGAAATACATAAATATTCATTTAAAGTTTAAATTTTGAACGCAATAAAATGAATATATCTATCGTTTTTCATATAATGAATAAAATACGAACAGGTAGAGAAAATCTGACACAGGGGTCTACTCTCGATATCCGCCCGACATCCGCCCGAAACAATTACTGTCAAATAAGTAATATTCGACAAAATTAAAAGACAAGTATCAAGTATGAAGCTTCATTCGCATCACG